GATTCCATGTAATTGATCATCAGGAAGATAATATATTAGACAAATATTTTTTAAATAATATCAAAATTACTATTTTTGATAAATTTCCTGAATTAAAAAATATCTTACAAGACCCCGCTTCCCTCTAGTGCTTCTATGGAGTGCCTATTTAGTGTTGCAAAACAGGTCTTAGGGGAGAGGCGTGGATGTTTATTAGATTCTAATTTAGAAAATTTATTACTAATAAAAGGTTATCAATATTTTGATAGATCTTTAATATAAATAAAGCTTTTTTATAAAAAAATATATGATTTTGTTTCGTATACCTTCTAAAAAATGAAAATCAAAAGAGCGGTTATGGAGTGGCACTCCATTACTTGGAGCGGGAGCTAGCTACTTTCAAAAAGGAGCGTTAACAACTCTGATTTTACGTATTTAAAAATACTTTTTATGTTTGAAATGATGCTTTTCTAGGTAAAATACTGTATAACATGAAATAAGAAATAACTAGTACTGTAAACGTTACTTCAAAAAAGAAACTCGTTACGTCAAAAAGGAACCCGTTACCATTACTCGTTATCTTTTGAAAAAGGAACGCGCGTTACTTGCTATTTAAAAAGTAACTGGTTTCTCGTTACTTGAAAAATTAAATATTATATATAAAAATTTCCTATATATAATATAAATAAATATATTATAAGATAGAATATTTTTATAATAATTTTTATTTATTTTAACAACAATTGATTTTCAAAATTTTGATCAGATAAACAAGAGAGCGCTAACACATCTTTCGCAGTACTAAACACACGTTCAACTGGCGCGAAGTATGGGAGAGTTCTATTATATTTAATATATAATAATTTTAAATGGGGAAATTCATTAAAAATTAAAGAATAATCCTTATTTTGAAAAAAGCATAATAGACCATCTTTAAAAGAATCTTTATTTAGATCTTCATCAAATTTTTAAATCTTTATTAGAAAATTATCTGATATGTTTGTTGTTTTTTAAAGAAATCAAAGTCTATTTTTCTTTATCAAGATATTTTATCAAACGGGAAATAAGTTCAAGCTTTCTACCTTCATTGACCAATAAATTTATCCAGGGCTAATCTAATTTAAGTAGCAGGTAAATTATTGTAGATAGTATATTCATCTTTATATTCGAATCTATTGAAAATATAGTCAAAATATAAATTGTAAAAATATTTCAACTGCATACCTTTTATCTATATCTTGCAGGATTTCCTGAATAAGTGTCTTAAAAATTTGAAATCATTTAAAGTAATTTTTTAAGTTTTAATATTATAATAGTTTTCGTGGGAGTGAAATATCCCAAGTGTTCTAAAATTGAAAGAGCCGTAACAACAGGTTCCATTATAAAATCATATATGCATATCATATTTTTTAATTAATACTACAATATATATTTGAACAACTTATCATTATCTGAAAATTTCTGCAATTCGGATTTATCACAAGATTGTCATATTGGTTATTCTCCTTAATAAGTCTATTAATTTAAGGAGTTATAAAAGAGTTCCATCTTGTTATAAGTTTAATTAGATATTTTCTTATTTTTCCTTAAAAATGGCTACACAGCTTCGAGACTGCCTATTTTTATTCCACAATTGAGGAAATATTTTAGGTGGGACACATTTTTACAATATGTAGACTTGGTACCCTTAATTTTTTTATTGGTGTAAAAAATGTTTCATTATGGGGGTCAGGGCAAGTTAAATCATATTCATCTGAAGAAATATGTACAATTACATAATATTCTTTATAAAATAAATTATAATTATAATATTAGAAAATAAGAATATAAATTAACATATATTGATTATAATAATTAGATTAACATTCTTGACTGAAAATTTAACAACGAAGATTTAAAATAAAAATGAAGGAATTTGGTGATTGATTTAAAAACTCGGCTTAAATTATTTAAATAAAATATGTTTTATATTTTTTAAGAAAAAATTTAAAATAACGAATAATGTTTTGCGTTACCATTACTCGTTACCTCTAGAAGAAGGTAGCAAATGACGTCCTTTTCATCAAAAAAGGTAACGCCGTTAGATACGACGTACTTTTTGACGTTACTTTACAGCACTAGAAATAATAAATTGAGTAATTACCAAATGCAAATAGAAATTATTATTTATTCTTTTAATAATTTATAGTGGTATTCATTTAAAAAAAAATTAATATAATTTCAAAAATTGAACCGATTTAACTCTGTTCGATTTTCTCCTTTTGAGACTTTATTATAACATTTTGCTTATGAAGTTAAAAATCAGGGCTGAGAATCCTAAACACGAACCCTCGAGATTTGACTAAACTTAATCTCGAACCATTTTCAAAAGTGTGGGCTAAGGATTCAAGAGATTTTTTTTCTATTTATTTTCACATAACTCTTTTTCGTGGATATTTTTATCTTTTACATAAAAAATTTTTAATTTAATTTTTACCACCATTATTTTGTAAAATTTTATATCATATAATAATATTATTTTTTTCAGAATATTTATTGTTCTTATTTAGATTATTTTTTGAAAAAGTAATGTTTTGAACGCGTTCGTGAACGGAGTTCGTTTTTTGGAAAAAATGGTGTACGACATTCCTTTAATTTTTGAACTCGGAACGTGAACGCGTTCCTTTTTTTGACTGACCGTTCGTTTTTTACGTTCGTTCAATTTTAGAAAATCTTATCATTATTTTGAAAAAAAAATTTATTAATATTAATCAAATTTTTTAAGAAAAAAGAGTTATTTTATAATCAACTGTTTCCTTTATCACATTTGAATTTTTTTAACCAGCCACTATTTCTGTTCTATATAGTGCTGTAAACATTTTTAAAAAAATCGAACGCGTTCAACGTTCATTGACAAAAATCGAACGCGTTCACGTTCAAATTCAAAAAAAGGAACGCGTTCAAGTTCATGAACGCGTTCATACGTTTAAAATTTTATGATAAATTTTTTTTTAAATTTAATTTGATAAACCAAATAAATGCCTTATATTTTTCAACACAATATATTTAGCCATGATAAAAAATAATAGTTTTATTTTGATGATATAATTATAAATACAATATAATAGAGCGATAAAAAAATAAATTTATAAAAAATTTTTCTTATTAATTTTTAATAATAATTGCTTTTCAAAATTTTCATCTGATAGGCATAAACGCTTGTCAGTTAATACAGCGTTAGCTATACTAAAAACTCGCTCAACAGGGGCAGATGAAGGGAGCGGTGTTATACTTGATAAATAATTCTTTTAAAAGGGGGAATTTATTAAAAACATTTAATGTTTTATCCATTGTTTCAAAAAATTGAGCTATGTTATCATCTTCCAATCTGCCCTCTTCTTCCTCGTCAAAAAAAAGGATATCTCGGAATTGATTTTAAAACAATGAAATATTTTTGATATTTGGGCCATGGTAATTCTAATTCATCTAATATTGAATTTTGATTTTCAGAATCTGATGATGAAATATTTATATCCATGCAAATGCTAATCTATTAAATTAAAATATAAAATATTCATAAACTTTAATCTTATCTTCTCTAGCAGTAGCACTATGGTAGGTTAATTGCAATATGAAAGAGGAAAAAGTAAAAAGTAAAAACAGCTGATTAAAAAATATAAGACTTTTTTGTTAAAAAATTGGATTAAATACTAATTTTTCAAATAAATAAAAATATAAGACTTTTTTGTTAAAAAATGCGGATTAATATTAATTTTTCAAATAAATAAAAATAAAAAGTGTTTTTAAAATTGAACGAACGTAAAATTAAACGCGTTCATCAAAGAAAAGGAACGCGTTCACGTTCAAAGTTCGTCAAGAAAAAAGGAACGCCGTTCATCACCTTTTTTCAAAAAAACGAACTTCGTTGAACGCGTTCGTTTACAACACTAGTTCTATAGAATAGTTTATTAATTTGAATATTATTATTTAAAAATATTGCAAGTCTTGAGATTTCGCTAATAGATGACCTTTGTGCCTTATATAAACAAAATCTTAAGGCGTTAAAATTTTTCTGGATAATATATTGAATAGCCGTTTTTAATCGGCACAAAGCCGTTTAACAACATTTTCACGCTGTGTAGAAACCAATTTTGAAGTATATTGTTAAAGTCAACTAAAGATTTATTTAGCCTTTTTTGGAATAAATCATACAAAAGTCTCCCCTTACCTTTTTTCCCCCATAATAATGAACTATAAATCCTGGAGATGGTCCCAAGGTAGAGACAATAAGAATCTGGAAATCTAGAAGCGTTAGTTTAAGTCCATGGATAATCTTATTTTCCTTTTCCGCATTTTAACCTATACAATATATATGTGTAAAATTAGATTCATATTAATAATTTTAATTTCTGGCAGATAAAACTCTTTGACAATTATTGTATAGCAATGATAATTTATAATTAGCAACTTATATTTTATGAAATTTCAATTCATACATAGATTTCATATATGACTTATAACTTAAGTCTCTAGCCGAGCACTTTAAAAAATATGGTAATGATAAGATACCTGCAAAGGTACCAATTTCGAAGTTCATTTCGTGTTTAAAAAAATAAGACCCTGCCCCGCTTTTTTAAAATTTGATCATTTTACTTACGTGGTCCTGGTTTTTAGTTATTCTAATTAATTAAAGCGGTATTTTGTAAATGATACTAAAAGGAAAGCGAATTACTATTTATTATAAAATACCCGACTCAGGCTTGTTATTTTTTATTTCTATAAATCAAATCAATTTGATGCCAGCCCGGGCTTTAGTTCGGGGCATGAAAGTCTCTGTAATAAGCTTAAAATTTATAATCACTGCAAATATGGCATTGGTTCCTTATATCGAAATTCAAATGAGCATCACGGAACAAATTTTTATATTTACCTTAAAAATACCCTTACAAGCGATTATATAATATAGATAATTTAAAAAGATAGCCATTTAAAATTATATTGTTTTCTTATTTAATTTACGGTTTTTTAAACAAATGACACAGGGCGAAGCTATTAATTATGCAGCTTGCGAGTTGGCGAAAAGTGTCGCGGCTGAAAGGAAAAATACATTGGTGGCCGGAGGCGTGTGCCAAACCCCTTCTTACCTCGATGGCAAAGGCAAAGATGCCGTTCAAAACGAGTTTCGGAAGCAACTCAAGGTGTTTGTTAAACATGACGTGGATTTCTTGATTTGCGAAGTTATTATTTACATATTTATTTTTAATTATTAACTTAATAATTGTATTTTATACTTGTAGTGATTAATTATTCGAAATTTTTAACAAATAATAAAATTATTTTACACATTTTTTAAATAAATTTATCACTGGTATTATATAAACTGGGGAATGATAAATAATTTTATTTTACAATTTTATTCAATAAAATCCTACAATTGTAATACCCAATAACGAATATTTACTTAGTATTTCGAACACATAGAAGAGATTGAATGGGCTATTGAAGCTTGTAAAGAGACTGGAAAACCCGTGGCAGCAACTATGTGCATAGGTTTTATATTATATTATTATATATAAAAAAGAATAAAATATTGGTAGTCTGTATAGCGAGGAATTGTTTGTAGAAAATATATTAGTTGTAGGAATTTAGCTCAATTTAAATATAAGGATTTAATTTATCAAGCAAAAAACAGTTTTATTATTATATGAAATCAACTAAATTGAATATAATGTAAAATTAACTGATCAAATGTTTTTCTCATGAGCTTTATATATCTTCTTCTTCTCCGTTTTATGGCGATTTCCAGGTTTACCTGGGTAGGCCAGTTTTCCCTCTGATTTTTCTTTTCCATTTTTGACGGTCCTGAGCATCAATACTTGTAAGATTCATGCTTCTCATATCCGCCGCTATCACATTTGTCCAAGTCATCTTGGGTCTTCCTCTAGGTCTTGATCCTCCTACTTCCATCATTGTGCATCTCTTTACCCAGTCATCTCTTGTCATACGTTCCACATGCCCAAACCATCTTAGTCTATTTCGTCGCATTACCATACCAATCATTTCTATACCTAATCTTGCTCGCAATTCCTTGCTAGTTTTCTCTCTCTCTCAGAGATACCCCACACATCCATCTAATCATCCTCATCTCTGTTCTTTCTAATTTGGCTTCGTGAGTAGCTTTCATTGCTCATGTTTCACCACCATAAACTAAACAACTCCTCACATAGCTTACGTAAACTTTCCCCCTTAACTTCAGAGAACCTTTTTTATTTGTAAGAATATACGACATCTTTCTGAACTTCTTCCAAGCTTGTCTGATCCTTGCAACAACGGCAGAATCTACACCACCATCTGCGTTTAGCATATCACCTAAATAACAAAACTTATCCACTTTTTCTAGGGTTAACCCATTGCCAATATCCAGACCACCATTTTTTAGGTTATCATTATTATGTATCCCTTTCATGCATGTTTTACAAATAAAGGTCATTCTTTCTAAAACTGCCTTTTTTCCCGCTACATCTTTTATGTACCCATTTCTGGCATCTGGTGCATTGGATAGAATTTCTAGCAACTCCTTTCCCACATACACCACAAGGCCACTTACCGGATTCTTCCATCTTTAGATTTTCCCCACCAATCATCACCTTTGTTTTTGATGCATTCATTTTCGGGCCCTTTGCTTCCATAGTCATCTTCCATTTACTAACTTTATCCCTCAATTCTCCCTCACTGTTTGCCATTATTACAAGGTCATCTGCATATCTCCCAGGGAAGTCCTTCACATATTTCTCTAGCCACCACATCCATTACTAAGATAAATAATAATGGACTCAGCACGGATCCTTGATGAAGTCCTACCTTCACCTCAAAGCTCTCACTATCACCATAATCCGTCCGTACTGCTGTTTGTGCTCCCACATACATTGCCATCACTGCGGTAACCAACCATTCCTCCACACCGGATTTTCTCAAGGCCCATCTTGTAATCTCACGCGGCACCTTATCAAATGCTTTCTCCAAATCAACAAACGCATAATAGAGTTTCTTTTCCTTCGCAATATACTTCTCCTGAATTTGTCTCACCACAAAAATTGCATCTGTCGTGCCTTTTCCCGATGTAAAACCAAAATGCATTTCATCAATTTTAATTTGTTTCCTTAACCGCTTCTCTAACACTCTCTCAAATACTTTCATTGCATGTTCCAAGAGTTTAATAGCTCTGTAAGACCCGCAATCTAAAGGATCACCTTTCCCCTTGTATACTGGGATAATTATACTTCTTCGCCAGTCCTCTGGAATAGTACCTTTTGTGACAATCTGATTTGCTAAATTCATTAACCATTCAATCCCTAAATCATCAGAACCTTTAAACATCTCTGATACCACCATCGTTAAACCCGATGCCTTCCCTTTCTTCATTTTTTTCACTGCTCTCTTTATCTCGTCCTTGCCAAATTTACACCCTGGACCTTCTACCTTTGCACAACTAATATTATTATTCCATTCATTTTCTTCATTCAAAAGTCCTTTCATGTAAATCTTCCAGGTGTTCTTAATACCACTACTATCAATCGTCATTTTTCCTTCCATATTTTTCAAACACTTTACACCTATCACATCATGCCTCTTTTTTGACATCTGTTTTGCCATTCGAACCATATTTCCAATTCCATCAGCGCATTCCATTTCTTTAGCAAACTCGTGTCTTTTTTCTTCTTGAGCCTTCGCTATTAATTTCTTAGCATTTCTTTTAGCCATCTTGTAAATATCATTATCACTATTTTCTTTGCTATTATACCATACTTTGAAACACCTCCGTTTCTCATCCACGGCTTTCGCTACCTCCGGGCTCCACCACCAAGTCTCCTTATGTCTAGGCGGCCCTTTTGTCCATCCACATACCTCCACAGTTGTCATTACCCAGGCTTTCTTCATAACTTCCCACTTGTCATTCACCCCAGATGCTTGTGCCACCTCCGCCTCCCTAATCGCCAATGCCATATTGAATTGACGTCTAGCATTCTCCTCCTTCAATTTCCAAACCTTCAGCCTTTGGACAAACTTTCTTTTAGTGACCCTGGCACCTTTAAGAGTGAGATCTCCTACAACTAGTCGATGCTGATTTATACATTCCTCTCCCGGTATCACTTTCACATTTTTTACTATACATCGATCACATCTCCTTAATAACAAGTAATCCACAGCACTTTTGGTACTACGCGACTTATAAGTCACCATCTTCTCTGATTCTTTCTTAAACATTGTATTACAGACAATCATATCCATCGCATCACTAAATTCTAAAATCCTCTCTCCTTCCAAATTTCTCATGCCGTAACTGAACCCTCCATGTACTCCTTCATAACCTTCACTACTCGCTCCCACATGTCCATTCAGATCACCAGCCAGGATAATCCCCTCTTTATTTGCCAGTCTCGATGTCACCCCCAATAGACTGTCCCAAAATATATCTTTCTCTTCTTCACTTCTTCCAACCTGAGGAACATATGCCGAGATAATATTATATAGCTTTCTACCAAAAATCATCTTGATAACCATTATCTGGTTGTCTAGCCTTCTCACTTCGACTACTTTGTCTACCAATTTCTCCGCAACCAATACCCCAACTCCAGCCTTACCATCATTACCTCCTTGCCAAAAGAATTTATACTTTTCGCTAGTCTTGCCAATCATTCTGGTCCCACTTCGATTCCATCTAGTCTCCTGTATGCAGCACACATCTATATGTCTTCTGTGCAATACATCGACGACTTCTCTCGCTCTTCTCGTCATATTCTCAACATTCCATGTCGCGACCCTAACTCGATCACCCGTAAACTGGTTTCTCCACTTTTTATCAGGTCGTTTATGGCCGTCATAAGTTTCATTTTCATGAATAGTGGTTCCACCAGGTTTCCCATCCTTCTTTTTGTCGTAGGCGGGTGAGGAGGCCCACGGGGTACTTTGGGCTGTACCCCACCCATGCTTTGTTGTAACCATAGGGAAATTTTGTAGCAAGGTTTTTACAATCGGATGCCCTTCCTGACATCAACCTCTTTAAGTGGTTTTTACACCCTTCGAGGAAACGGTGATCCTATTCTAGACCCAGATCACAGGAACCTTTTAGACCTCCATTAGCCGCCAAAAGACGTTGCCACTCCCCCGCCACGATGAGGCTGAAGGTAGGATTTTGGGAGAGATGAGCTTTATATATAAAAAAATATATCTTTTTTTATAAAATGTAAATCAATTACGGTTATAAAACATAGCTGCAAACTCATATTAACAATTTAAAAGTAATATAAATTGAGTAATAATAAAAATAAAAGTTAATATTTACAAATATGTAATAATATAAAAATTTGAAAAGCCTATCATGACACCTCTGTACATCGTTTAATCATTTAAGTTAATTGTTAAATCATTCCTTGAAGTAATTTCCTCCAAACAGAGAGGTGTAATAATATTCTCAAGGCTTTTCCTTAAAAATATTATGTGGGTCCCTAATAGCGTTGTCAACCACCTCGCTCGGGGCTGAATCGAAAAAGCATCTTGAGCCTGAGGCGAAGAAACACCTCGATACTGAGTCGAAAAAAGTATCTTGGGAGATCCTAAAAATCCTAGATTCCAGCTAATCAATTTTTGCTTTTCATTAGTTATTAAAGCCAGCCTACGAATATTTTTTATATTAAATTTTACTTTTGGACATATTTAAGGGTAAAGAATAATATCTATTTTCATGAATATTAAATAAAGATAGGTTTAATAATATTATATATTTCCTCTTGAATTTTGTTTTAAATCGATTTAAGCCTCGGGACTAATTGGAAAATTAGTTTTTAGGATTTCCTGGATCTATCGTCAAATCTAAAATACTAAAAGCTTTTTTCGTTTCAGTCTTGAGGCGGGGCGGTTTTTTTGTTTAAAAACTCGGCTACTCTTTTTTGGAGTCGCTTCGATGAAAGCTTTTTACCAATACCACCCCCTACCTCATGTATGAATTAATGTGAAAGTTTTGGGGTTATGCAGCTGTAGGGCCATTGGGTCTCTTATATAACTCCGAATGAATATGAATCACACTACGCTTAAAATCAATTATTGAGTTAAAATTGGTCAAAATTAAAATACTATTTTGAAAAATTAATTTGTAATATTGTTTTATTTTTATTCTCGTAATTTATTATTATTTCTTTATAATTGTATCAACAGGTCCAAATGGCGATATGAGTGGCGTGTCACTCGGTGAATGTGGTGTAAGATTGGCCAAAGCAGGTTTATTATAAAATTAAGAATATTCAATGTTACTTGTAGAAAATTTTAGCATATCTCCACATTATTTTATAGGGTTCTTAACTCTATTTTTGGTCCAATACATTAAAATATCCCCAACAAAATTAATTTTATACCTTTTTAAATAATTAAATTGATGTTATAATATTAACCTGGTTTTAAAATCGTTCCTATAAAATTGATTTTTTATAGAAATATTGGAACTATAGTCAAATTAAGATTTATAATCTCGCATGTTGTGCTATAATATTCACATCATTTTTTTAGCCCCAATTAATTTGAATTTGTTATAAATTATATTCGTGTGAAAAACCTCTTTAAAATACATATCATTTATAACTTAGATTTACTAAAATAAAATTAAAAAAATGTTTTGTGTATATTAATTATTAACTTCACGATAATCTAATATTTATTTGTTTATAAATTTTGTTTAGGAGCGTGCTGCATAGGAATAAACTGCCATTTCGACCCTTTAACTTGCGTTAAAACAGTTTGTCTAATGAAAAAGGCCTGCGAAAAGGAAGGCATTAAAGTGCATTACATGTGCCAACCCTTAGCTTATCATACCCCAGATTGTAGCAAGCAGGGATTTATTGCTCTCCCAGAATTCCCTTTTGGTTTATTATTATTCTTTTTAAAGATTTTTCCATGATTCTAATAAGAAAAAAATATAATTTTTTTAAATATACATTTCTAGTTTCAAAAAATTAGTTTCCTTTACCAATATTCTTCTTTTTCGTTTAATTGCGGTTTTTCGGAGAATAATTTCAAAAATCATTGTGAAAATCTTATAATTTACAATTCTTTCCTCGATTCTCTGCCTCCCTGTTCTAACATTTTTAAAATGTTCTCATACATTGCCTAATAAAAAAAACTATAGGAATCTTAATTGTTTTAAGCAGAATGCTGTTCCTTTTTTAATACTATATTACTTATTTTTTAATACATTCCTAGCCCTGGAACCACGTATAGTGACGCGATTCGACGTTCAAGCGTATGCCAGAAAAGCATACGAGTCCGGTATACGATACATAGGCGGTTGTTGTGGGTTCGAACCATATCACATCCGTGCCATAACCGAAGAACTTATTAACGAAAAGAGACACGCTGGATCCGCCAATGGATTCCCCTATGAAACACCAGCGGCTCTAGATAAACACGGCTTATGGGGATCCGAACTTAAAATTCATACCAAACCTTTCGTCAGAACTAGGTTTTTTTAGAAAAAAAATTTCATCATGTTGATAAACCTTTGATATTTAATTTGTTTAATTTATCTTGATATAATTTTTCATTGATTCTATATTTACATTTATTTTTACCATCTCTTTTTACCAATGTCATAAAAAAAATAACTAACTGTAAACTATGAACTAAACAAGAAACACTTTAAAATTTTCGTTTCTATGGATTAGGTGATTTTTAGTGCATTATCATGAATGTAAGTGTAGTTTTTTTTACTCCCCCTAAAATTAATAATCTTATTAAAAATATATATGGACTATGTTTACAGCTTATGACTCGACATTAATACTTTCTTGTTGCAAATAATATTTTAAAATAATAATATCACATTTTTAGCTAATTTTTAATTTTAAATAATTTGATTTTTTTTAAACATTATAAATAAATTGAATTTTGGACCACATGGGATGGGATTTCAGGCGCCAACTAGCTCAGTGTTAGGAGTAATTGCTTTAACCATTTTGTGTAAGTAGAAAATGACCTAAAATAATTAATATGACAAGTCAGTTTGGGATGCTATCCTTTATTTAGTAAATTCAGATGTTAAGAAATAACCAGGTAATGAATTTATACAACCTAAATATTTAATGGAAGGCGATTTATATATAAAATAACAAAAGAAAATTTTACGAGTTTTCATAAAAATTTAATCAGAAGTAAAAAATTGCCATTATTATTACAATGTTTAAACGTTAAGAAATTCAAAAGTAAAATTAATTATCATAATAAATAATTAAATTCAAATTAATCATTGATCCATCCAGGTGTAAGATATATCCTTGATCTGTGTTTGAATTACACTTTTCATTTCTCCTTGGTGTCTGCTGGTTCTGGAACAACCCTCATAGATAATCGTGATAACGCGTCGTCATTCATGTTCAATGACCCTGGTTTATAATTAATGTTGAAAGTAAAACTCGAAGTAATGCTCCAGTATTGTATGCAGGCCATTGGTTTCTCCGTGTCTTTGTCAAATAAATTTGATAAACCTACTCCAACTCCAAAGTTGGGGCGTTACATATCAAAGCGAGCGTGGTTTCTAGGCTATAATGGTACATAACTTTGGGATATGCTAAAATTTCTTTAATATATTTAAAACTCCGTTTGCTAATTTAGTCTAATTAAAAATAACACAATGGCATGGAGGTAGGATTTTAAAATACCTACCATGCTTTTGGGACTTGGTGATAAAGCGTTTGCATTTATTATGTGGCCTAAGTATTCCACTGAAGGTTGCCCAATTTTACAATTATTTAAATTAACTTTTAGGTCATAGGTGGTTAAACAAATTATTATTTTTGGTGTGTTTGGGGGTACTTCCGGACACTAAGCTATCATCTAAATATATAATCGTTTTTTTTAAAAAATCTTGCTATTCTCATATTTTTTGTTCTTTGAAAAGTCATGGGAGATGTTGCTATTAAAAGGCAGGCAGTAAGTTACGATCCTAAGTGAGTTTTAATTGTTAGAGTTTTACTTGTTTTATGCGGGAATCTATATATATGCCTCCTTTAAATCTATTACCGAAAATAAATTACCTCTTCGTAGTGTTCTAAATATTTCCTCATTTCAAGGATTCAGTAGCATTCAGGTTGTATATGAAGGTTCTTCATTGTTTTGTAATCTATACATAAGCAAAAGGATCGGTTTTTGCTGCACAATTGCTGATCCCCAGGAAATGTACCTGCATTTTTGATTACTCCTATTTGTTTAACACCTCTTCTATTTTTAGTTTGAGTGAATACGCCACATTTCTTCGTTTTATAAATTTTGGTGTGGTTTCTGCCACTGTTATATATATACCTCTGATGGAAATTTGTCGAATTTATTCTCGAAACTTGAGGGAAATCTGTTAGTAATAATGTTTTCTTATTCTTTTGATAACACTCCCAATAATTGTGTTATTGTCATTGCTCACGATTAGTGGAATGTAGTGCTATTAATTTTAATGTTATCCATGAATTTATAACTCCACTGGCATAGGATCTGATTATCTCTGTATATGGCTTTTTTTAAACGTGGGATAACCTGATCTTGAAACGTTTTTTCGCAATTAAGGAGACGCTGGCGCCAGTATCTATCTCCTGTTCATTTATACCGTTAATTTGCACTATCATTATGTGTGGTTTAACATATTTCTCATCCTTTGGATCGATGAGATATAGAATTAGGCAACTTTCTAGAATTTTTGTAGAATAGATAAATGGATCACCTTAAACGCATAAAATTTTCAATTTATTTCATATAGATAGAAAAAATCTAAAATTAAAAAATAAATAATATAACAGTATTACTTTCTTCAATAATAAAGATAACTTAGAGGGAATGCGGCTTTAGACTGTTGCTATATGCAATATAATATCCTGCATCAATATAGGATATCTCCTATATATTTACGTTTAAACATGTAAATATCTACACTAGTTAACAAACCAGATTAATCATTATTAATAATTACCTAAAATTCTATTTAATATAAACACTAATATATTAAACCGTTATTAACATACCCTTATATATCATATGTTTCTAGCAGAGTTGCCAGATCTTCCGCTTTTGGCGTAATTTCCCGATTTTTTACCAGAAACTTACGCTATCTTTTATTTTAATTCAATCATACATTTAAAAAGGCATTTTGTTTTTTTAAAATTTTTGATCCATATTTTGAAGAAAGAAAAAAACACAATGAATTAGATAACAATATATAAAATGATATTTAGAAGTAAGCAGTATTATTTATATTTTAGCAGTTTTATATAGCCTAATAATAATTTTTGATTGACTAAATATAGTTTTCTCATGATATTTCATTTCTTTTCCAATTTTATTCCATTAATTTAAATTATGTATAAATTACAGTTTAAAAAAGTTCAACCAATAAAAAAATTTAAATCGCAAATAACTGGAATTCCATTTATTCATAGGTAAGAGAAGATAAAAAATGTAGCTTAAATGTATTTTATATAATATGCAATACATATCTAATATATACTAATAAGGAATCCTTAATGTAAAAAAACAAATTTAAAAAATAAGGAATCATCAAATAATATCCAACCATACTTCAAAAATAATAATTTATGTGATGATAATACTACAATAACCTTCATCTATCACATAAAACATTCACTTAGTTATATATCTAATAGCGCTACAAACTTATTCCCTATACTCTTTCCTGCTACAAAAATAGCCCAAAGCATAAAATATAGAAGAACAAAATTCTCAAAAATTGTGTTAAATATCCTAGATCCTGAATAAGAAACGCATCATATAGGATTTGAAGGAAAATAGACCATTCTCTCTATTAACTATGCATCAAATAATGGAAATACTAAAACATTCCCAATAATGCTGCCATATTTTATTAAAAAAAGAAGTGTTTCAAGTAAACTTCTAAAAATATTTTCATCGGACTCGGGAAAATCGACGGATATTGCGTCAATGCTTGTGCAGAACCTTTAAAATTGCAACCTTTCACTATTAAATGTAACACCTTTTATGCCGATAACGCAAGTGTGTATTTCGGAAAAAGGCAAAGTGTAATGAAGGAATTATTAGTTTTGAATGAAAACAATTCAATGCAGGAAGAAAGGATTATGCTTCATTATCAATAGATATAGAAATAATTGCTATGAAATATTGTGCCAAATTCAGCATATCCACGAAAAGTGTATCTGTTTTTAAAAAAATTATGGATTCCCAAGATATTTAGTTATAAATATATGGACGAGCTTAAACAACTTGGGTAAATAATCCCAATCCTAAAATTTAATTGCAGTGGAGATGTTTTCATTAATGTATAAATTACTTAAAGCCCAAGTATCAATAACTTTTATGCTCGGTTGTAAGACAAAATCTTATAAAATGTAATGATCATGATAAGATAACATCATTTCAAAATGTAACTAATAAATATTAATTTATCATTTCATATTTAGAAAAAATATATGAATTTACAAATAATAAATAGGAAAATCTAAGTATTATGAAGCTCCATAATAAATTCGAATTCGAGGAAGTTGAATTAATAATAATAATTTTAATATAAAAGATATCGAATAAGAAGATTGCTTTAATATATTTATAAAACAAAATAATTATATATCAAATGGCTCATGAAAACAAATGGATACTTTTTTTCCAATGAACATTGCGCCAAATATGCAATAATTCTCATTACCACATTCAAACTCAGATTCAAAGCGCATATTTAGTTTGGAAAGATCGTAATCGGTTATCTTTATAAGCGGAATTAATGATCAAACATTTAATTATGCTTGTAAAGATTTTAAAGAATATGTAACAAAAAATTAAAATTTAATTAATAATATAAAAATTTTTGAAAAATATGTACTGATTTTTTAAATAATAGCTATTAATTTTATATTAAAAAATAAAATACCATCTTTCTTTATTTTACTGTTGCGTTTATATATATTCATTTAAATAAAGAAATAATCACCGAAAAAAAAATTAATCTTATTTATTATAAAAAAAATTTTTTTAAGAATTATGGGTTAAATTCTTCCGCTTTTTATTTGAAAGAATCTGGCAACCCTGGTTTCTAGTAGCGAGAGAGAGAAGGGGACACACAAAATTGTTATTTTGATCTAAACTTTACTACCATTTTGTATAATTATCATTATGTTTACTTTACAGTTACACTACAACATAAGGAATATTTAATAAACTTAACCTACCCAAATCCTTCCCTATTCGACCCTTATTTAATTGGATAGGGGTTTTTTCTATCTTCTTACTTCCCTTAAACGTTTAAATAGCAAACTCGTCTTATTATGCGATCAGGTAATTATGGCCAGCACAAAAAACTGAATGATCCTTTTTATATTTAATCTCCACAAATTTTTATTTTCCCAGTTTGATGGATTTTTTTTGAGAGAACCAAACATTGTTCTGTTTTATATATAACGCATAGGGCTAGGCGCTTAATATCACTTAAAATTTATCATCCATTGCGTAAAATAAAATTCTGGTTTTTTTAATGAAATACTCGGACATAATATTTAAGGAATTGAATTCTAATTATTATTTATTTTAATATATAAAAATGTGAAATGATATTTTATCAGGATATATCTAAAATAAATATAGCTATCTCTAAAAATACATCTAGATACCGATATCACATTTTTGTATCTAGATCTTTTAACAATTCTGCTTCTTAATAACTTACGTCTGAATGGTGTCCTGGCATAGATTTAGGCCATTCGTGTGAGATTTGTATTACCAGATTTCTTTTAATATTTAATATTTATCTTAACGACTTGAAGATTTGTTGGGCATTCCACGTGCATTCCAAAGCTTAGTACATTTTTTCATAATAGTGAATCATTCTAAGGGATTTTGAACTTCATATTTCAAAAAGGACTATTTTAAGTAGCAACTAAGATAAAGTGTGCTATTTATTTTTTTTGCTTGTACAGGCTTGACATTCAGCTCATACTTTATATCCACTAAAAGATTTTTAAAATATCTAAAATTAGGAATTTATTTTCATAATTTAGTGTCATTACCTTTATATTCATTGTCATGAATGTTAATCGTCCTACAAATTAAAAAAATATTATTTAATGGTGATATTCTATTAAGCTACATTATATAAATGTAAGCTTTTATTTTGTTTATCTTGATGTAAGTTGTAGACTTTTGACAGAGTTGTTAAGAAGCGGCACTCCTAGTGCGCTACACTTTTTCGTTTAAAAATCAGGAGCGGGAATTAGCTCCTTTTAGGGCTGGAGTGGAGGAGCGCCGCTTCACCGCTCTTTTAAATTTAATGTATAAATTAAATTATTTTTTAAATAATAATAAATCTATTTATTTATTAATTAAAATTCAACAAAAATGAAATTTTATTTTATTTAAATTTATGCAATTATTGGTTTTTCATTTAATCAGTTAAAATATTAAACATCAAGTTTTTATTTCTTTTTATATTGAAAATTTTTGGAAAATCGTGTAAGTCATATTAATATTCATTTTATAGGTATATGGTAAAAAATAGTTTTTGATATTATAGATCCAGACATCATAGAAGAAGAAATTGAAATAAAAATATAAATTATCATTTAAATAGCTTTATTGCAGATTTTTAAATGTTTATATTGATGAAAATATCATTGCTGCTATTATCCATCCTGCATTCAAATTAAATTGGGAATGGATATATGCACAAAATATGGAACTAAAATACAAATTAATTTTTTTAAGAAAACAAATTTCTGATGCATAAATAGCTACTAGTTTACGAGAACCCTGCAATGATTTGGAAGATTTTTTTGAATTCCATGAAAATGATCATCAGGAAGATAATATATTGGACAAATATAAATAATGATGTCAAAATTACTTATTTTGATAAATTTCCTGAATTAAGTTTTTTTTATAAAATACAATACCACGCTTCCCTCTAGTGCTCCTGTTGAGCGCTTGTTTAGTATTGCTAAATAGGTTTTAGAGTAGAAGCGTGGAAGTTTGTTAGATTCAAATTTAGAAATTATATTACTTTTAAAAGCTAATAAAAGATTTGAAATATTTTGATATATCATTTAATATAAATAAATATTTTTTGATAATAAAAATATGATTTTGTTTCGTGTACTATCTAAAAAAATGTAAATCAAAGAAGCGGCAATGGAGTTACACTCCATTACTTGGAGCAGGAGCTTAGCTCCATTTAAAAATGTAGTAGCGGGAACGGGAGCTAGCTCCTTTTGAGAAGGTAAGAGTGGGAACGGGAGCTACTTTTAAAAGGAGCGTTAACAACTTACTTAACTTGATTTTTGTTGTACTCTAAATTTTTAAACAATAGAAGAATAATGAAATAAATAGAATCTACGAAAAAATAAGGTTATATATGATTATTATATTTTTTAAACAAAAATATAAAGTGTCTGTATCTTTTGTTGAGAAAATGATACAAGAATCTTTTGAAAATAAAATACGATACAGATACAAGTTTCTTATTAAATATTAATAAGTTAAAGAGTACAAGTTTATTAGTATCTTTTATATTAGACACAAATATTTACAGTATCTAACTCTGATCCTACTCATATTTTATATTTGAACATATGAACACTCTGCTGTATTTATTTTATCTTTTATTAATTTTTTTATGTAAGGTATTTTAGTAATACTAACTAAGAAAATTAACAAAACAGAATATATCTGTTATGATATTTCTCAAAAGAACTTATTTTTACATTATTTTAGCCTTATATATTATATAAGGAACATGTTTCCCCATTAACTAAAAAAATGCATGATTACTAGCAATTGTATTTGATAATTAATTCCTTTTAAAAAATTATTGCACCCAATCCTGATATCGGTCTGATCTGATTCTTTTTAAACGGTAAACACCGGACCTTATTCCATATTTAATATCGGTACCACCTTTTTTCCTTTATAAAATTGACATGCAATATGATGATTTACTTCGAGACAAAATTTTAGCTAGGCTAAAAATCTTAACGGTCTAATTCGGACCTTGCTGATCCTAATATAGTGAAGCTATTTACAATTTTCCTTGTTGATTTTTACTTCAATCTTAATATTAAAAATTTTATATTAGAGCCAACAGAAATTACTGGGAAAATTTGAAGCCTGCGTCTGGTCGACCATATTGTGCTAGTCTTTCTAGACCTCACGATATTGAAATGCACCCCGGAGACAAAATCCTAAAGCAAGGACCTCAAGAAACGAGTGAAGAAGATCAAGCCGAGCTATTAAAGGTGCTTGAGAATTGTAAAACAGGACACCATATTAAAGGGGGCGATGGCAATCATTCCGACAACTTACTACTCGATTTTAATTAAAACCTATTAATTTTTTATTTGATGCCAAAACAGTATCACTTTTATAAATATTTACTAATTTTTGAATTTTATCATTTATTACTAATCTTATTTATACAAAATATGCACCTATTTTTACGATTACTTTATAATTCCTATTAGATCATAATAACAATTATATATTTGGGTTAGATTGGGACCAAAAACCTAGCACTTTAATATATTTTCTAACATAATATTTTTATATCATTATAAAAAAATATTCTTAATATATTTCAATGTTAAATACTTCAATAAAATCAAATAAACAACTTTAATAGATAAAGCAAAGCTGGATAACTCAAGTACAGGAAGAGGTCATTTATTTCTACTAGCAGATAAGCAATTTTGGTTTTAGGTACAAACAGAGCAGGCAGGCTGGAGAAATTCATTTTTAAGGGGAACCTCATATAAAAAAATTTAAACTATTATTATTAGATAAAAAATGAAATCGCAATTTTGACTTCTATATTATACTATTTGAATAATGAAAATAACAATTGTTTATGTTCATCTAGTCATTTAGTAAATAAATTTATTATTACTCCATTTACTCATTTAATATAAAATTTAAAGGAGGGGCACTATCATAAAAATTTACCTTTAATGAAAAATAGCCTAACGCCTGCACTGCAGAGAAGTATTTAGCTATTGAATTAATCTCCGTTCTCTGTCTATAGTTATTTCTATTATGTTTATTGTATCACGGATTGACAATGGATTCAATCAATTTTTTTAGCCTAATTTTAACTGACTTAATAAAGCATATATTATCCAATCAAATAATTAATATTTTTTTGCAAGCTGGCAAGGATTGGGATTGATCTGATATTTCGGGTCTGTCGGAGATAAAGGTCCCATTCAACAAGAGTATTGGGCATCTTGGCGTAAAAATACTTATCATCCAGGAGGAAATTACATCAAAGATTCGAACCGTAACAAATAATTTGTTCGGTTTAAGTTTAGGTACATATATAAATATTGTATAGGGTTCAATCCGGTAGTAAATAATTTCATATTGGTTTGAATTAAAACTCGTTCGAACTCTTTTGCATACAAACTTATAGAATAGATAAAGCAGAGAATTTCTCATTAGATATACATTAATGTTTATTTTATTATTATTTATCATATTTTTAAATTATAATAAATAGAGACTGGTGCTAGTCGAACCGATTTTATCCTGTTTTTTTTAATATTATAAAGATCAATATATGAATCGATACCTATATAACAATACTCTATAAAGGTGACTTATAAATATTTTTAAGAATATAATCATATTTTTAAAATTTTATTTGTTATAAAAGTTGATATCTTGCCCAACAAACCCCAATAGCGGGGTTAGGCAAACCACTCCAAAGGGCTTCTTAAACTATTATTTTTTTTTAGGCTCTAATGAATTGAAATGCATTTTATTTTTTATTAATGATAAGTGATATTTACATAGAAGGCGATATCGATATATTTATTTTATCTTTATTTCTCTCTCTAAAAAATATTATATCTTTTTACAACTATATATATATTATTATTTTAACAATATTGTATATTTTAAGGTTATATTAAGAAAAGTTATTTTAACATATATAAAAAAAGAAAAGTACAATAAGGTCATAATATATTTTACAAAAAGAAAAAGTACAAGAGGTCGTACGAATAATTTTAACATTAAAAATATATTTAACATTTCCCTTTTTTTAAGTGACTTCTTTCTTCAGTTTCTCCTCTTTACCATTCGTCATTTGTTTCTCGATTGCTCCATTAGTCATTTGTTAGTATGCCTTGAGTTTGTTTGTTTGACCATCGAATTATCGTTTGTTGAACATCATTTGTAAAACATCGTTGTTGATTTGCAGTTTGTATTGATCTTCCCATTTCCATTTCGCTTTCAAATTTTTATATATATTTTTTATTTATTTATTTATAACAATCATTTTCTAGGTCTTAAGTCATATTCTCGAATTTGACTTTGAACTTGTGAATTTTGACCTCGAACTTGAACTTATTCACTTCTTTCCCCTCTAAAATTTTTTGTACTTTGTTGTAGAATTTTCATTTGATATTATGTTCATTGTTTAGCCTCAGTCATATCTTTTTCATTGGTTTGTTCGTAGCTTATTATCCTTATCGTCTAATCATTCGTTTGAACATCATCCTCACATTAGCTTGTTCATCTCGTTATTTATTATCATTTGTATTTATTTATCAATGTTTGTAAATAGATATTATGATCAATATATCTCAAATAAAATAATTTTGGAATAATTGAAATGATAATGGAATAAATAATTTATCAGATTCATTCATAGAATAAGAATAATAATCATAATTTGGGATATTGAATAATAGAATATTTTGAATTGTGGCATTTTATATAATAATTTTTTATTTATTATTCAATTTCAATTATTTTTATTTTTTTAATTTTACTCCTTTATTTTTCAATTTAAACAATTTTTTTATATAATTTATCTTCAACTTGTTCTTTATAAAAATTTCTCTTTTTCCTTCTATTTTCAACATACGATCTCAATTTAAAAACTTTTTCAACATCAAGATATTTAATTACCTTGCCTCTCTTTTTAATATTTGTTTTAATTTTCTTTATTTCCAAAGTTTTTTTATTAATTATAAAAGTTTTTATTTTATTATTTTTTAATTTTTATTTTATTATTGTCTTTAATCACTATTATTTCTTCAATTGTTATCATAGATTTATTTCTTTTAATTTATAAGAATTTATTTCGTTTTTAACATTTGGTATTAATTTACATAATTCTTTATTCAAGTTTTTATTATTATGGTTATTTTTATAATTTTGACATTAAAAATTTTTATTATGATAAGATATATTATTTGATCTATATGTTTTATATATCTCCTTTACCTATTTATAATTACAAAAACATTTTAATATATACATTGCTTCTTGATAACTTGAACTTCCATCTTTCGGTAACATTGCGTCCATAGGCAAAAATAAATCATCTGGTAAATTAAGTATAAAATATATTTAACAATAAGTATAGTATAATTTTATTCTTCAAAATATATTACTTTTAAAATTGAAGCTATATAAAAATTGAAATTTAATTTTGTTTAATTTAATTAACATTTTGGACATATAAAAATAAATATCTTAATGATAGATTATTTTCTTAGCATAAATCTAAATACAAAACAGTAGCATCACTGCTGGGCGGGGGGGGGGGGCTCGAGTCCCTTGAAAAATTTAAAGCCCCCTCAAAATTTTGAATATTTTTATTTTATTAAAAAAATAGGGAATTTTGGATAATGTTAGCTAAATAAAGAAGGAAATCTTGAAAATAATTTTAAAATTTTTTTAAGCCCCCTGAGATTGTAAAGGCTAATGATGCCTCTAATACCAATCATATACAGCTATGAAATTTTCTCTCCAAGATTTTGAATATATTTTTCATATTAACTACCTTAATTGTATGGTTAAGCAGACTCCGCAAGCTCTAAATTGGCTAATCATGATTGAAATAGTATCTAGACAAAATAATTACTCATAAAACCTTCTCAAATTATAAATGGGTTAAAACTTACTAAAATTCAATATTATATAAAGGATTATATAACTTATTAAAAATTAAAATTCTGTCATGTAAAAATCTTTTAAATTTTAGATCAAAATTTTATTTCTTAAATAAAATTTTTAATAAATAATTATTTCAAAAGATGTGTTGCCTATAGATGCACATAAAAGCTATATTAGGATAAAATTTAAACTTTCTAGTCTATTTAATTTTAAATGAGATTAATAGGTTTGCCGAACCCCGTATTTACCTAACCCCAGTCTCCCCTATCTAATATCCATTAAATATAATATAAATGTTAATCATTAAAATAGAGGTTGATAATGTCTCACCGATCATAATAGATTGATATAAATCTTTAAAACAGTTGAAATATTAAATGTTTTAAACTGGTTCATGGGCCTGTTTAGAAGTTTGGATAATAAAATTTTTAACGGTTCGGTTTGGGTCTTTGAATTAAACTACAAAATACACGTCAGGTATTTGATCTATGACGATAAATTTTATTAATATACAAGACGCTGATGTTTCCCTGACTTATGAGGTTCTTTTAGTTCTACTTCTAAGGTTAATTGGACTGGGAAATATAGGTTTGCAAGACAACTTTACTCCCAATTATCAATGGTATGTCAGAAAATAATTTTTTACATCTATATATACCTGAATATAAAGCTTAATAAACCAGTCTTTTCAACATTTTGGGTTTTGTTTAATATAACTGCATTAATAGAGGCTTCTTTTATTTTGCCAAATTTAATATAAAATAATTAACTTTGTTTACGTTTGATAAATACAATTTAATGTTAGTTATTTAAATCATGTTATTGGTATTTTATTCATTTTTTATATTTAAAACTTTTATATAATATTAATTTATTTCTAATATTAAGAAAGATATATAAAACTAAAAAGTATTTATATAAGAAAAAGGATTAAATAATTTTAAGAGAAACATAATTGTAGTGTTGTTAAAGTAACTAGTTACATTTTTGCTAAAAAATAATTGTAACTGTAACTAGTTATATTTTTTGAAATGTAACGTCATTATGTATACTCGGGGTTGCGTTTAAGGGGTGAAAGAGCGATGGAGATTTTACTTGAACAGCTTTGAAGTGTAAGTATTCAACGCAATGCTGTATCAATGGTAAATTCCAGTCTCTTTGTCTTAAATTTGGATATGAGCGGCTTGGAGAATCTTTGCCCCAGAGGTTTAATTTTGACATATGATCTCTATTCGATAATATCCAAGTGTGTATGGAAATTTAGCAACTGAGGATAAAAAGGCTGAAATACTTAAAGATATGGGGGAATGGATACCTATACCACCTAGCTATGGTGGAAGGACAGCTTGCATGCCGAAGAGTGAAGAGAATTTGATATTTAAAATAGATTCGAGATTATATTTTATTATGAACCTCAAAATAATATTTCAAGGGACATGAAAATTGTTAATGAACGAAAGGCATGTAAAATTTTAGGAATGAATAAAAAATATTTGAATAAATAAAAAGCCTGATGAGGAGGTAGTTTTAAAGTATTTTTCATTCTATTAAATTTGACAAGAAATTAATCTCTGAATGAAATATAGCACTTTCACCTCCAATGGGTGAACTTAGGTGTGTAAAGCTAGTTTTGCCCTATACAATAAAATTTCCAGGTGGGCAGTCCGATTCAAGGAAAATAATTTTTTTAAATTTATTAATTTAAAATTTTGTTTAAATGTCTGATTGTGTTCACAAAGGATATGCAACAATAATATAATTTCCCTTCCAAATAGATTTTCTTTTCTTAAATTGTTACATTTGCTTTAATATACCTATTTTTTAATATTATATTTCTTTACCTATTTAGCACAATATATTCCATATTTTTTGCCCTCAAGTTGCTGGTAATATTTATAGAATTACATATAAATATATTTTTATTAAAAATTTTACTAAATTAGATCATAGAACTTAGTATAAGGAACGACAAAGACTTAGATTATTTTAAAATTAAATATTTTTTGAATAAACTACTAAATTAGTAATCATTACTTACTAATAAGAAAAATTTTCAGACTCGGCCCGGATTTTTTATAAATATATTATATTTATTTTTGGTTTTTATAGCTAATAGCGATTTCAAATATTTGGTTTTAAAATATAAGGCCTGGCCTTGAAATTTTTTTTAAAAAAAATTTCAGGCCCGGCCTGATAATATTTTAAAGAAAACTAAAATACGTCCCAAACCGGGTTTAGAGTCGGGCCTGCAGGTCTATTAAATATATTCTATTTTCCGATATTTTTTTTCTGTTTAATTATTTTTTTATATAAATAAATTGTATATTTTTCAAATAATTGATTATAATTATTATTTCCTAATTTTTTTATATTAAATAAATGCGTTCAGTAAATAAATAATGCGTTTATGAATGATGTATGAAGTAACTTATTATGTAACTAGTTACTTTTGAAATATAACTGTATTGGGTTCTTAAAAAAGGAATAGTTAAATTTAAAAATATTTATTTATATAAAAAGAATTTCCTAGGTTGAAGTGTTTGCAATTTAATTTTGTGAAATAAATTTTTTTTTAAATTAAAGGCGATAGGAGCAAACCGTCCTTTGGTAAAAGTTGCAATTGGCAAGAATATGAAATTGCTGAGGCTTTGTATTTTTTAGTCTCTGCTAAGTTGATATTTATATTGTTGGGGTAGGATGAGACACATGTATAATTAAATAAGGGATTTACCCATGGCTGTGGTATTTATATTTAAATAAATCAAGTATTATAAATTGTATATATTTTTTAATACCTGTTGCCTATTTGAGCCGCAGCTGTTGTAGGAGTGTCTGTTACGCCTGTTCTTAACACCACCTTGTAGTGTTAAATAGTCGAATTTTTACGACTCTGAACTCATGTTGGAGTCACAAAACTCATTTCAAATTGAGCGGCTCAATGAGCCGTATGAGTAGGCGTGATGAGTCGGCTAAATTTATTTTGAATCGGACTGCTATTATTATTTGCTCCATGATGAAAATATTAAACAATTTTAACCACTTTGGTTCGGGAATTTAGATATTTTTATATTCGAAATGACTTATGTGTATTATTTTAAGAATATGACCATGCTATTATTAATATTACCTAAACCTCGACATTTCGCTGATAGATGTCCAAACATTTGTACCATCTAAGACAACATAAGGCTTGCATAATAGGTTTCTTGAAAAAATGTTGAGTTAACTATTTTTAAAAATTGGCTCAAATCGAGCCATTTAACAATACTACCAATTAATATTTAATTATATAGAAAATTATATAAAAAAAGGATTTTTTTTTAAAAAAAAATTTACAGGCTTGGGTAGGATTTTTTAAAAATATTTTATATTTATTTTTTATATTTTTAGTTAGCTAATGATGGGATTTCAAATATTAAGTTCTAAAATTCCGGTCCAGGCATTAATTCACACCCGGTTCGCGTATATTTAAAAAAATACAACCAGGCCTGTGTATGGGCTTGGCTTAGGGCCAGGTCTGCAGGTCTCTGATTAATAATATAATATAGTAAAATTATTATTTGATCATAATTCAGAAAGAGATTCCGACGCTTTTATCGAAATCGATGGAAAAATTTTCTAACTCAGCCCGTAAACTTATGCAAGTTGAATATAATATTTTTTAATTGGGTGCGGCATGTTAAAACTTTACGAAAGATCTGCCCAGATACGTTAAAGTTTTCGGCCATAACAATGTTTATTAATAACTAATTTTTTCCCATCCTTTTTTTTTATTTAAAATTATTTTTCCAGATTAAAAACTATAATTATTTACATTCCCCCCTTACATCTTTTTTTCCCAAATATTAGATTATTATTTTATTACTATGGAAATTTAATATTTCAATAATAAACGGCCACTTATATTGATATTAAACAAAATTTTAAAATAAAATATAAAAAAATATGTTTGATTTTACTCTGATTTAAATCTTTCTTCCCACTCGCAGGCTTTTCTATATAAAAGTCCTATTAATGATTTTAACCATGTAAATTTAATAAAAAGCTATATTGATTAAATATACTATATTGAAATGCTATTAATTTTTTAATGTCTAGACGTAAATCCAGTTTAGTCCCACTAGGGAATTAGAAGATGAAACAACTTTTCGATTAGATAGTCCATCAATTATTAATCCAACTTTACAGATACGCCAAAAAAAACTAGGCGAAAATGCAAACGTTGCGATACACTACAAGGTTAGTACTGCAACAAGTATAATACGCTTTAATAATAGATTTTCATATGAGAAAAGTGCATCCCAAAGAAAGAGATAATTCAAAAATGGTATCAGAGACCTTGTATGGTACAAGAAAACTGATCAAATATTGAAAATACTTATTTAAATATACTAATTCTTAGATATTTTATAAAAAAATAACATTG